TTGGAATAATCATAGCAATACACCTGCTCTTTATGGCTGATATACCTCCTAGTAAAGGAGTAGAGGATGATAAAGATGAAATGGCTTTTTTGAATGGGTCTAAGATGAGTACAGCAGTCTTAGCTGCACCAAGCCTTTTTTTCTTTAAACCAATAAGCTCCTGATGCAACTGCATTGAATAAATCAGTAAACTCCTGATGCAACCCTATCAAAACTAAAGATGCCTTAGCATCACCATTAACACTGACAGGTTAACAACATAATTCTAACATGAATATTACTATACATAACTAATTATCAGAAACTTACACCCAAAAGCAAACTCTCAAAATAGCTATTTACAGTTGGCAAACTTTAGCAAACACCCAAAAGCAATCTCTTAATACAACTATTTACACTTTTGGCTAACAAAACATAGGGTATATTTACACAAGTTAACATTTGTCCACTCAAGGGACAAAGAATATTTAAGAAAATTGAACATTTATTTAAAAATTAAAGAGATTGAGGAATATTGACCCCCCCCCTTTAAAATTTTTTAAGCTGTATCTTGAGCTTGGATAGAAAAAAACTAATTTCTCTATTTCTAAACAAAACAGTTCTTGAGTAATCACAGTTAATAAAGTGCATATGCATACACAGAACAGTTTATAAGCCACTCAGCTAATAATGTACATAGGTGAAATCAAAAGTGTCCCACTGCAACTGAACCACTCCTGTCCACCCCATTTCTTAAGTCTGAAAATTTCAAGAAGTCAGTTGTTACCAGTCTTAATGTTCCATTGAATGCTCAAAATCAGGACCTGGCTCATCAGCTGCCTTGAAGTCTTTGTATAACTGTCCAACTCATAATGCAAGTCATTCCCATGCACCAAGAGCATTGTTTTCTTTTCAGTTTTGGGTTTACCCATGTTTAGTAAGGAATCTGAGGCAAAGGGTAGGGTTTGCCCACTGTACCCACGTGGGTCTCAGCTGTCCGTTTGGCTCCCACCACAGCTGCTCAGCTCCAAGGAGGAGGAGGAGGAAGTGGCAATGTGTGGTCTGAGAGTCTCAGCATGGTCCCCTCAGGCCCTGGGGGACTCAGTGCTGGTCGGACTTCGCCTCCTGTCATCATCTGTCTGCCCAGGACCCCTGTGTCCTGAGGTCCTGAGGGCTCTCTCATGCCTTGCACTGCATGGCTCAAGTTGCTGCTCCCCTGACCCCCCCAACCCCAAGCTCTCCCGGGCATCCCTCAATTGACACTGGGTGCCAGGGACTCTGGCTCCAGGTGACAGACCTGCTCTGGTTGCTGGGGTCCAAAGTCTCTGCTGCATTCTTCAAGGCACTGCCACTGTCTGCCTTTTGCATCTCTGCTCTGCCTGTTAAGGTTGAGCACAGCCTCAAGCCATGGCAGTCCAGCTCTTACAAGCATTCTGATTGCTTTCTCCTCACCACAGCACCTCACAGCAGAAAACATGCAGAATCTCACTGCTTGTGTTGGCTCTCGGCATCTGCCACCTGCACCTTGAGGATACCCCATGGGTCTCAGCTGCCAATGTCTGACTTGGTACAGCCACTGCTCTTGCTGCTGCTACTTTGGTGGCTGCTGCTTGCAGTGGGGGCTTCTAAAGCAGCTGCTTGTTCTTGGACTTCTAAATCCCCAGTGGCTGCTCAGTCCTGGACACTGCTCTCTGCATCCCAGATTGGGCACTTGGGAATGTCTACTCTAAGTTAAACCTTCACCATATTCCTATCCCTAAAGCCTGTATTTCTCAACCTTCACCAAAACTTTTTTTTTTACCACTTTAAACCTCACTTGGTATATAAAGTGTGTGAGAGAGAAAGAGAGAAACAGAGACAGAGAGATACTTGCTTCAGCATAACTTAAACTACTCTGGTTTATATTTACAATTTCATTCC